ACAAAGACAGGTCCACCCAATAAAATTACACGCCCTAGCACAGTTAAAAAACACATACCTCCTTCTTCACAGAAACACACCACATTTTCACAACCCACTCGTATTCAACCGCAACGCAAAAACCTTAACAGAACTACAGGCTCACAACATACTAAAATAACTCCACCAAAAACCCAAGCAACTTCACAAATACAACCTCAAGAACAAAGAAACATCATAAATACAAGTAACGCAACATGCACTACAAAGACAGGTCCCCCCAATAAAGTTACACGCCCTAGCACAATTAAAAAACACATAACTCCTTCTTCACCGAAGCACACCACGTTATCACAACCCACTCGTATTCAACCCAAACGCAAAAACCTATACAACACTGCTAGCTCACAAAATACTGTAATATCTCCATCAATAACCCAAGCAACCTCACAAACACAACCTCAAGAACAAAGAAACACCATAAACACAAGTAACGCAACATGTACTACAAAGACAGGTCCATCCAATAAAGTTACACGCCCTAGCACAGTTAAAAAACACAATACTCCTTCTTCTCAGAAACAACCCACTCGTATACAGCTGAAGCGCAAAAACCTTAACAGCACCACAGGCTCACAAAATACTGCAATATCTCCACCAAAAACCCAAGCAACCTCACAAATACGACCTCAGGAACAAAGAAACACCATAAATACAATTAAAAAACACAAAACTCCTTCTTCACATAAACACACCACGTTATCACAACCCACTCGTATTCAACCCAAACGCAAAGCCAAAGGAACACTTACACAATAAACTCTATTTAATAAAATTACAGGAATTATTATAATGATATTTTTGTTTTGTTTTCTTCTTTCCTGATAGCGTTGACTATTGTGGCCATTAATAGCTATGTTGAACCCTACATAACTTCACCAGACACAGACACTAATCGTTACTTGATTTTAATCCGTGCGATTAGTTAACCAGGCTAGACCTGAGTTCTCACAAGAAACACCGACCATAATAATAATAATAATAATAATATTTATTTACAGGGAAACCCCAAAAAAGAACAACAATAATAAATTACCTATAACAATAACAGGTTTAAAGTGTACATTACACATAAAAAAAACATGTTATACAATATTAATTAAATTAAATTAATATAATAACTCACAATAATAATATACATTACCGTTTATACCTATAACATACTCTTAATAAACAAACATGCTACATTATCATTCCAAAAGTGGTATGGTTAACGTTTCTGATAAAAATCCATATCAACATATGTGAGATGTAATTTTAACTTTTGTTTGAGTAAATTTAGAGAAACATTGAATAGATCAATATATGGATAACTATTAGCTAAACACATAAATCTCTCAATGGGTAGGTTTTTGAGATAGTTAGTTTTGGAGGATTTAATAGAGAAAAGGTGAGTCATTGTTTAATTTAAACAATGGGTGAGTGTATCTAATATGTTTCTCGGGTACATTAAAGTTTATTGATTGAAGCAGCAAGGAATTATCACAATGACCATTAATCAGTTTAAAGAGAAAAATCAAATCGAAACATCTTCTAATATAAGGCATATTGATTGATGTCTTTTATTTTCGGGGTTAAACCTTTCGGGAATCAAAACGATTAGGATTGCTATACAATTCTGGATCCCGGTGTAACGGCGTACAGGGATCAAATTCGTCCCCCGCCTTTAGATGAACCTCACCCTTCGTCGTCTCTTAATGTGGATTCTGTAGCGGTTCACGCCTGCCTCTCCAGGAAGAGTACAGGGTTATTCTAAATGATGGACCCAATTTAATAAATTCGTATTTATTTAAATATAAATGCAAAATGAACAATCTACATACCAATGGAAAGAGGAAGTTTCAAAGTTTTTTTTACATATGCAGAAACGGCCGCTAGAGTTCTCGCGCCAGCCAGCCGCCTTTGTGTTGTCAGTTGTGAGTGAGATGGCTACCGTGCAGCACAAGGTTTTCTGCGTTCTTGAGTTTGCTAAAAGTGAGTCGCAAGTTACAGTGCAGCGGGCATTTCGTCTGAAATAAATATGTAAAAAAAACTTTGAAACTTCCTCTTTCCATTGGTATGTAGATTGTTCATTTTGCATTTATACTTAAATAAATACGAATTTATTAAATTGGGTCCATCATTTAGAATAACCCTGTATAACGTGCCCAAAGCTGCAACGTTCTAATTTGCACTTACCAGACACGACCATATTTAAATACTGCATTTCCATCACCGTTTGGTACGTGAAGTTGTCTTTATTGGCATCGATTTCATCGAGCAATTTTTGTTGAACAACGCTGTTGCAGGAAAGTTCATAAAATGTGTACATTAATGCCGAGGAGACGGTATCGAATCCGGCACCGAAAAATGTGGCTACAAGCGCTGTTAGTATCTCGTCGGTCAACTCGATGTTATCCGGGTTATTTTCCGATTTCATGATTATGCCTATCAGGTCTGGACGAGCGATTTGTTGCGATTTTCTGGATTTGATGTTGTTTTTAACTAGTAACCGGAAGAAGTTGGTTACGTTTTGATCAAATATTCGTAGACCGAACACCTGCAATGGTACGGATAGGAGATATTTAAAAGCTGAAAACACTCACCCTCGCTACTATTGGAAACACCTGAATCACAATGAATCGGACTTTTAACCAAAATCCGAGAAAATTGGTGGCTTTCTGGCCAATCGTGTAAAATTCATTAGTTTGTTCTTCTACAGAATTGCAAAGAATTCCAAAATGCGTGCCGAAGAAGACGTCGGTGGTTAATCGTCCAAAAAGTTCCTTCACATCAAACTCGACAATCTCTTTTCCGCTTTTTTTCAAAGACGCGACCACTTGTGCTGAACACTCCAAAATTGTGTGGAACATTAGCTTAATTTTGCTGCTGGTAAACGTGGGACTTACAAACCCACGTAACTGTTTCCAATCGTCACCTAAGCGAGGGGAAATTATTTCTAAGTTTCTTGGATGAGACCTACCTTTTAAATTAAATAAACTCTTCTCCCAAACCGTGTCGCCGTCATATGGTAAAAAAACATTATGATCGACGAAGTAATCAAAGTCTTTGACGAACACGTGTTTTATCAGTTCTGGATCTTCTATACACAGTCTCGGTTTGAAATTTTGGTAAGTTCCAATATATCTAAAGCGTATTGAATGTAACACAAATATTTTCTTTATTCTTCAGTACCGTGCATTTTTAAAATCTTCACGAGCTCGCACCATGGCGTCAGTCAATGGTGGTTGTGTAATAAAGTCGCGAATGTTGTTTAGCCAAATTTTCCAAAATGGGTATTGCTTAATACCTCTTCTACTCCAATGCAAATATCGGTGCACGAGAGTACAGAAACCTATCGTAAGAATAGTTAAACATAAAGCCAACATGTTCGAAGCTCCGGTTTTTAAAATGGATCGGTGAACTAAAAAAATTCCTGTATATGATGATGCGAGGAACCTTACCCTTAACCTCTAAAAGTTTGAACGCAAAAATATCGCTTGTATAAAGCAGTAAGGTCACCGCACTAATGAATTGCTGAAACTAACAAATTTTGCATTTGTGAAAGAGGTTTTCTGTTGATCTTGTTTATCTATTTCAGGACGTATCACGGCAAATAACTCGGGGAAAACTTTTTGGAGTGTGAGAAAATTTCAATAAACCTTCATGGACACTTTACATACACTTTTGATAGTTCGGCCAAGGCCAATGTTACCGCGTCGATGGTTCTAGACCGTGAGACCGTTTTGGTTTCTTTCTTCTTGAGAAGTGGGGTGGGGGGAGAGGAAATTTCATGCGAGTCATGGAGCTAGCTGGTACGGGGTTAATCGCTTCGGTTTATACGTACAAAGATCATAGGCGGTATGTACCATCCAAGTTTCTGTTAACGCACGCTCGTTGTCGTTTTATTTAGAAGGTCCTTGGTTGAAGCGTTCACCGCATGAACGACACAGCATCAACCTGATCATGGTGGCAACACTTTGCATTTAATTAATCCCTCTACTGCTTCAAGCTTTAATTTACCACAGTCTCCTCCAATATACTCTCTGGGGTGTCCTATCAGGTGACTACAGTATTTATTAACACAGGGGTACAGGGAGATTGGTATTTTGAACCGTTCGAAATCACAACCATTCTTAAAATCTTTAGAGCAAAAGAAAAACCCACGATAACATGTGAGGACAATCCACCATTATTAACAATCTGTGCGATTGTTTCTTTTGTCCAGTGTATGGTGCTGCCACCCTTAGGTATAGATTTTAACCTACGAGCAAGGAAAAAAGAGGAGAACCGTGCATTAAAATGGAACGCGATGGAAACTGAGAAAAACAGGTTATAAGAGCGCGGAGAGACTCGTCACCGTTGGCATGTTTTGTGTTCGATTCCCTTTGTCAATCTAGTCCGCAGTTCTGCCTATATGGTCATTCCCACCAGCGCAAATTGAGGTAATATGATGACGACTTCCGTCACGTGGTAAACTATTTCCTACCATCGTTACATTCTACATTCATTTTAAAGTACAGTCGCTTAAACTGAAACGACTTACTTGTGTTGATTTTCAAAATAAGATATTTTTTTATTGTTAATCAGATTATTAAACAAATTACTGTTATACTGTACTGAAGTCGAACCACCAAATTTCAGTTAGGGACATCCATTCTACACGGACCGCCAACTGAACGATAACAGTGGATACCGTAATGCGGAACAAGTAACAGTAAAGGTGTTTATTAAAAATGAAACCTAAGATTTCAATACATATTATACACCCAAGTAGGCGTTGGCACCATGATATTTCGGTCGACGAGGATGGTGAGCACGGGCGAAGTGTTGGACTAGAGCCAAACGGCCAGTCTCATTTGCTTGTAGAAAGGTAGTGGATGAGTTGGCCAGCTCCAGTACCTTCTTGGCGTTTGAGTTTCCATAATTATACCATGCCGATCCTTTGTTGCGGAACATCGGCCAGTATTGCAAGGCGTTGAATATGACGCTGGATCGAGTGTGGTAACAATTCCCACCTCCTTGTCGCGGTGGTGTTGGCGAGATAATTTTGTCTGGCAGAATGGGCGGTTCCGGTGCTTGAGCTTGTGGTGCCGGATGTTGGGCGCGTGCTTTATAATGTAGTATGGGCCCGTTGCACCGGTGACGTTATCTCCTGCCCGTTCCATCACGAGATCGCCGGCTTCAAACTGGATTCTGGTAGGTCCATAGTTTGCGTAACACGATTGGGTGTTAGTTACGCTAAACCTGTCTTGCCAGTTATTCTCTTGCTTCATCGTCTTGTGGCACTCTAGCTGCCGGGTCGGTCAAGGAAGCTCAAATCCCAGGAGAGCGTGGCTAGGCGTTGTTCCTTTGGCGGCGTCTCTTCGCGTTCGTAGGATGTACACTATGATCGGTAGCACGGCGTCTCACTTTTTTGGATCATTTCCCTGAAGCCAATTTCGGAGGTCCTTCTTGATTTCCTGGTTCCCGCTATCAACCGGGTTGGCCTGAGTGTGGAATATGGAAATTGTACGATGGTAGCAACCCCAATGCCTTAGCGCATCTTGTATCAGCCCGCGTATCGTTATTATACACACTCAACATCCTCGCACGTTATCCCGGACGTGGTTACCTATCTTCGGCCGGTGGGTGGGGATGGCGCGGATCGTTTCCTCGGCGCCCAGAAGCTTGCATGACGTCCTCGTACATTTCTCGCGGCACTACCAAAAGTGGGCCTTTGACGGCTTCATCGATAAAGGTACCTGTTATACTCGTGTCTGTGCGGCTGTTGCAGGACCTGCCTGGCGCATTCAGAGCAACTTGATCCAGAAGAAGTGTACTTAAAAGGTTTTGGAGTACCTTGGAATCTTACTCTTCCGAAGAAAAATTTACGATCACGTTGGTTAGGCAACACACCTTTACACCTGAAACAAAAATACGACTTGCTCTGTATCTAACCAATCGTGCTACGTTGTCGATTTCGCCCGTTTTGCGCAGATGCCGAAGACAGGGATTTTCTCACCGAAGGTAGGAGAAAAGGTTAGAGCGGGGTTAACGAAGAAGAAGGAATGGCGTCGATGTTTGTTGTGTTATTAATGGTAGTAACCATTTTATTTTTATTTGCACAAACCATTAATCATGGATGTTCATGTCCCAGTTTGTTATTATTTATACTTCACAGTATATTTGTTGCACATGGCATACTCCATACTTTTGTTTTGAATGCCGTTATATGAATCAGATTTGTTTGCAGGTGATTATGCCTTTATATTGTTGATTAAGTATTTAATTCTGTATTCACGAGGAAGTCTATTATCAATGTGGTGTTGCTCTGCTCGAATTTAACTATTCCGTGAAGGAAGTACCTAATACAGTCCGATTCTTCGTTATATCTGTTGCCTGCTCGCCTCATGCTGATCGCATTTCTTGGCGTCTTAGCAAAACGAGAATTTAGGGGCCTTCTGATTAACATTTCCTCTATTTAAAATGTGTTTTACTTTCACATGAATACTTACTATTGCCATTCTCACATGTACTTTTTGTCTTAAATTTATTTATGTTAAGTGAGGCTGGTGTAGAGGCATGCCATTTTGATGTTTTCCTATGTACATGCAATATATCATATTACGAGTTGTATTATCTCATTTGATCATACAGCTATTTTAATATGTTTTGTACGATATTGATTTATCATATTTTCCATTTGCATGTATTATGTCTAGTGTGTTTTGTTTTTATCAATTTGTTTAACTGCCTTTGATTCGATTACCTCACTTTTATCGTACAATTTGAGATGTTTTATTTGTGTATTTTTTCTTGCATTTTGTTGCTGTGTTGATTTATTTCATGTGTTTGTGTGGTGTATGCCAGGTTTTGTCCCGTAGAAGGATTCCCTGGTATGGTCTTGTTGTGTGCATAATCTATTTACTTATTCTTGTCATTTCACGCACAAAAATGATGTCTTTTATTTAATTCGCTTCCCGATTATGTCGCACGTTCCAACACGGACAAAGAACTGATTATACAATGTAGGAGTTCATTCGAGACATCCACATCGAACTCACTACAGAGTTTACAAGTACCGTCGGTCGTTTCGACTTGAATGTTATAGGATAAGTTAACATTTTCACTGTCGACTTGAGAGATCCCTAGGATCATTACAATCGCTACTGGAATAGTAGTATATTTGTTTGCGTTATTTGCGTTTCAAATTCACTTAGAATGGACCTAACAATTAACATAGGTACTTACATAGTACGTAGTGAGATGTACGTAAAATGTACATCATAGTGTTCTAATTAAGAGTGTCTTCGAAAGCAACTACTTTCTACCGCCCTTTTCCATTACCCCTTATCAAAATCGAGAAGTTGCGAGGGGGGAGGTTTTACCCTTCATGGTACTCTAATGGAAGGTCTCAACGAATGAACTATTTCTGCCATCGAGGCAACCACATCTTATCGTGGTCGGTTATAATTCCTCATTCTCAAGTTAGTGTAGGCGCATATGTAGCGATTAACTTTTCTATTTAAAACTCGTGATAATTTTTGGCACCAAGGTTTTTCTGTTTCCACAGGTGTTCAGGAATAAAAAAAATCTTGGTGCCAAAGTGAGATTTTCCATTTAGGTGGTGCATAGCGAGCGTTTGTTAGCAAGGTGATTATTTGGTTTGAACGAGAGTTTTCCTATAACATATAATTTGCTTTTCAAATTCTATGCATTGCTAATTTACGAGATTTATATGAGGAGACATATCCAAATTAATGCTAGTTTATCCCATCTTATGTTTCAAGTACCTAAAAGCGATCTACCATATACATTTTCATGTGTGACAATACAGATTCACGCTTCTCTGATTCACAAGACGATGAATACAGTGATGAAGATTAGATAAGGTTGTGAATAAGCATAACATTCTGTCGAAAGTTTGATATTAGAAAGACCAAATGAGATTTCAGCAACGCAACTATATACATCTGATGTTTACCATAATATTCAAAGGTACAACATTCACTGGTTTTCATGTTTTTAATTTCAATTTTTATATAACTTTTGATTAAGGTCAATCTGTCAGTGATGACAGGAGCTATTATAGACATTTGGAAATGTCAAAAATGCGGCCAGTAAAGTGACGGTGCGACCCGTAAACTGACAGGTGCGGCCAATAAAGTAACAATTAAGCGGCAGAAATCGTGGTCTGCTCTGCTTTTGTCATGGAAACCAAAATTTTCTGACAGAAAGTAGGCAAAAACGAAGGCTTCAGGACGATTTTGGATCAAAAATATTTACCCAAAATCGTCATGAAACCTTCATTTTCATGCCTACTTTATGTCCGGAAAGTGTTAGTTTCCGTGACGGAGAGACCAGTCTACTTTTCCTGCCGCCTGTCACTTTACCGGCCACACCTGTCACTTTACCAACCGCACTTGTCACTTTACCTTCCGCAC